AACAGAGGGAGGTAATAGTAGTACCTCATTATTGCTCAGCTTTGTGTAGCTACAAAAGAAAACTATTTGAGGGCTGGGATATAGCTCAGAAAAAAAAAAAAGAAGGGAAAAAATATTTAGGCTGTTAACTTTATAAAGAGAAGTTTATTTAGCTCACAGTTTTGGAGGTACAAGTCCAAGTGGTTTGACCTCTGGTGAGGTAGATATACCACATGTAGGAGCAAAACAGTCATATCTCCAGTCCCTTTTGAGGGCACACCCCAATGTTCTAAGGACCTCTGGCTAGGCTCCATCTCCCCATCCCACCACCCTGGCACCAAGCCTTTCACACGGGCTTGGGGAACATTCAACAGGTAAACCACAGCAACACCTCACAGAATCCTTTTGAGGATTCCAGGAAGTAATGAATGAAAAGTACTTAGGATATTGTCTAGCACCTATTAGATGTTTAATAAGAGTCAGTCATCACTGGTAGTACTACTAACTTAAAATTCATGAGTTAAACATGTTACATTTTAGCAACCGCTTATATTTCATAATAAAATTTAGCATGATAACATACTAATGCTACGTCTTGGTGACTTTACACTTGGTGACTGGGAGTTTACTTTCCCTGGGTGCCACAGATGGCTTTCCAAGTCTACGAGCCTGAGGGCTGGCCCCAGATCTAGCAAAGTCCCAAGGCAATGCACCCTGGATTCCCAGCTTGCTGACCTTCCTTGATATAAACCTCCCTCTCTGCAACAATGTTCTCTAGGAAAAGCCTTTTAAACGTGATTTGAGTTCTGCTGCCTCCCCATGGCCACAAAGTGAAACCCAAATTTCTTAGCCTGCACTAAAATACAGCATACCTCAACATCTGGCTCTGTTTCCAACAGTAGGGTAAGAATGTCCCACTTCCCCCCAACCTCAACAACACTGGCACTGTAGAAAAATGGTCTCTCATTATCACTTCAATTGCTTTTTAGTGAGATAAAATATCTTAACTATGTATTTATTAGCCCTAAGTATTTATTTTATGGATATTTATTTATGTTCTCTCCCCTTCTTAAATTGGATTATTCATTTTTTCTTATTAATGTTAAAAATTCTTGTTCTACTTATTGTTTTTATTTCCCAACTTGCAGTTTTCCATTTTTTATGGCTTTGTTGTCTTCTTTTAATAAACATTTTACATTGTATATAGTGAAATCTATTTTTTCCTTTAGAGTTTTAGTCCCATCAAAAATCTTTGCTATAAACAAAAATGTCAATTAAGTCTTCATGTCCATTTTTTTTTAAACTGGTATGCTCATTGTTTCATTTTTCTGTAATTTACTACTTAAGTAAGTCACCTGAATTTTGCTTCATGGTCCTGCTCCCTCTTCACCTAGCTGGGCTTCTTAGACTAGGTCACTTCTGGTCCCTCCTCCCTCCAGCAGGATACAGGTTCTCAAGGGACCTCAAAAGTAGCCCCAGATAATTTTAGCAGTAAGACTGAGCCTCTACTTACAGGATGTGTCCCAGGCTCCACCGGGATTCTGCCCTCCAGGACCTGAGGGTGTAGCCAGCCATCTTAGGACCCCGGGTAAGAATATAACAAGCTCCATGTGGCTGACCAATCCACATAGAGCCTCCTGCAAGGGGTCCACCAACACTTTCCATGCAGGTTGGACAAATGCATCCAGATAGTCCCTGACACATCACTGGGAACTGTTTTTAAGTGCAATCGTGGGCAAGAGGCACAGGCCTTACCTCCAATGTGGAAGTTCCCAGTGTCACAGGGCCTGCAGCTGGGCACCCCTGACCACAATCGGAAGTGGGGCCTTTCAACAGAACTTGGTAGCAGGAAGCCCATTCTGGGGACGGGGGAAATGCAGTGGAGGTAGTTCAGTTACTGAAACTTAACAGCATTCCTATTTCACCACCTGCCTGGTCAGGGGATGCAGCAGGCAAGGAGGAGTGGAGAGGCCGTGTGATGAAAGGACAAAGAGAAAGTGAATAAAACCAGCCACTGGCGAGAGCCTTCCTGTGCAGAGACAGCACAGGCAAGACAGGGCCAGCCAAGGCACCGCGGAGAGCAAGAAGAATCAGCCATCAAAGGGGAAGGAGGAGGCTCTAGAAAGTCAGATGCTGGAGTCCAGGCTCAGAGCCCAGATCTCCCAAAGTCAAGGCAATGGCTGGCTTTCAATTTTCACACAGATATTTAGAGAAGGGGAAAGAGAGAAGAGGCTGAAGATGAAAAAAAGAAAAATCATTTAGAAAATCCCCAAAGATGGCTCAAGGGACCCAGGTGTGTGGTGAGTAGACTGTCTGGCAGTGACAGGCTGGTTAAACAGTCACAGAAAAGATCAGGTTGCCAAAGAAGTGTTCCTCCAAGTATTGGGCTCTACCACTTCAGTTCCAACAAAACTATCAGAAACAAGTCCCAGAATCATATTGATTAAAACCCCAAAATGGAGAAGGTGTGGGTGATGTAAAGGAGAAATATGTCCTTTTGGCCCTAGACTCTATAAAGAAAAGACAATAGCCCAGAGTCATGTGTAGCCTGGAGCAACCCAGAGAGAGGGTTAGACAGAGATGGGAATGTTGTCACAGAATGTTTAAACATAATGTGGCCAAGGGCGGAAGCACCAGAAAAGCAGATTTGGGACTCAGGACAAGGACTTTGTATCATCAAAAGCTGTCAAATTTCCAAGTCCCTTGGGAGGCAGCAGTTTCTATAAGCAGAAACTGCAGAAGATGGATGTAGACCAGTGTAAGAATCCCAGCATTGGCAGGTCCCTGTGAGGTCTCTTCCCACCATTATGGAAGGGCGCAGATCTCTCCATTCCATATCTGACACTCTGGGGGAAAGGGACAATTCAAAATGACCTTTTTATCTGTTCATTTAAAAGAATTGTGCGTGCGTACCTGTGCACACATAGTATCTGAATATGCCCACAGGATTCAAGGGAAGCTTTGGCCATGTGGTCACAGTGGGGCCCAGGAGAGCCCATCAAGGACAAATGTCCCCAGGGCAGAACCCACAAGGGAGAAGTGCTAGGGCCTCACTGCCTCACAGCAAGGCTGAGGTGGGCTCTTCTGTCCTGCAAAGCAAGGCTGTCACAGCAGCACATCCAATGACACTATCTGGACAGCTGCTTCTGGGGTAATGTCACTATAGTGACTCTGCAGCCTTCCAGACCCCACCCCAGACATCACCACAATAGCCAAGTTAGGCTATCCTTAGGGCTGAGGCAGAATAAAAGGAGCCCCAGTGAGCAAGCTGTTTCAGAGACAAGGGTCTGGGAACCAATTCACCTGCCCTGAGTGGACAGCAGGCACTGTTCTCTCAGACTCTGGAAGGTGGTCCCGGGGGAGTCCACATTACAACCCCCTGTGACACACACAGATCTCCTCCCTTTACATCATCGGTACTCTGAACCAAGCAAGGGGGAGGAAGAGCTTTATCATACACCTTGATAAGCACGGCAGAGCAAGCACACCACGGGGCTTCCACATACACCCCAGGTCAACTAGCTGTCTAATCTCTTCCCTCACAGTGGCCTCTTCTGCCACTGCATGTGTGCACGTGTGTGTTCTGATGTTTTGAGCCCTCTCTGCTGACAAAAGGCATGAAAACTAGACCTACTGCAAAAACCCAAACATCACAACAGATGTTCAAATATGTCCCTGAGGTCTGAGAAGCATTCAAGGAAATGGTCCAGGAAATAGAGATGAAGACCAGGGGCTGGTACTTTAACATTTGAAAGGGCATCACGAACATCCCCAAAGCCTGCAGGGCACAGTCAACACCTGAATTGCAACTGGAAGAAACAAAAGTGAGGATAAGTCTGACTTCAGGACAAATGAAAGGCCAATGGCCTTTGCCAGGAATGCAGCCCAGGAAAATCTATATATGTGCTCTGACTTGGCCTATCTGCTCCCATGGGTGCTCCCACCACCAGGACCACATCCTCTTGGATATTCCTCTAATCCTGTGGAGGGAAGGTTGGGCTACTTTTCTAGCCCCATGGGAATAGGCACACTATCAGGAGCTACTGCCTCACAACATGTCTGAGCCCTAAGAGTCAAACTGGGGTCAAAGAGGTTGCTTGAGGTCGTGGTAAGGCAAAAGCAGGGCTAGAAGGCAGGCCTCCCGTGGGGCCTGTAGATGCACTTTCTTCATCCTCCCCTTTTGTTCCTCAGGAGTCCTGGGCCCCCAATAGCAAGTGAAGCTGGCTTCAGCATGGACCTTTCACATCATCTCACCATCACCTAACCATAGAAAAGCCCTGGAGAGAAGGCAGAGAACTTGCTATACAGCAGCCTTACTCATGAGTATAAGGAGCAAGCCAGCTCCACAGAAGCCAAACCGAATCCCACCCTGTACCAGCCCTGCTGCCCTGCTTGACCCTCCTGAAGATGTGCAATTGCCCATTCACTCAAAGAACACTTGCCAAGCACCTGCAGTGGTGTCAGGGCCTGTGCCAAGGGCACACAAGTAAGAATGAGTTCAGGATCCCTGCAGCAGAGGGCTGCCAGACTGGTGGGTAAAGATGAGCTGAATAATCCCACTAATGAACATCCAATTACAAAGGGTACTAAGTGCTCCATGGGCAGGAACCCAGCTCAACAAGACCTTTGTAAAGGGCCCTTGTAGGGAAGCAGAACTGGAACCCGGAGGAGCCGACTTGGCCAAGTGGGAGAAGACAGAGGAGGCAGAAGAGACAGCCCGTATAGCTTCGAGCTCTGTGCAGGACCAGGTGAGGCACTTTCAAGAAACCAAATGGGTACTTCTGCAGGCAGGTGGGGACAGCAGGGTTCACCCCTGCTAATCCAGTCTTAGCCACACAAAAGAAAGGTCAGAAACACACCTGCTCCTATCTCTTCTCTGCACAATTGTGGCACAAGAGCTTCTTATGAAACTTTGCCTTTTGGAAACAGTGGTTACAGAAACTATGAGACAGCAGATGTTTGTCAGGGCCAGGGAAACTCTGAGGCCAGGGCAGGCGAAAACAGAGGGCAAACACAGCACAGTTGCTCTAGCAGCATTTTTATTTACAAACAGCAATTTCCATTGACTTTATACCATAAAAAAGCCATTTACAAGCAAGAAACGAGAATTCAGAACAAAATTAAGCAGCACTGAAATATTCATGTCACAAATCTAAAACAAAATGAATACAGAGTAAAATATCATTTGAATAAATAGTCTTAAATCCATGCTATAAAATAATCCTTAATGGCAAGTTACTAGTTGATACAGCATCCGCTTAGCTAGCTTCATTTACTTCATATGGTGATGAAGTGTGGAGTTGTGAGGTTACCAGTTTATATTGCAAGATAATGACACTGTGTTAAGTCATTCAAATTGCTCAACCATTTATAACGGAAAACAATGTTAGCCCTACTAATAAAAGTGGTGAGAGAGATGGTTTTCACATTAGGAAAATGGTCATTCTCAAACAAACCAGGTAAGTTTACCTCTTACTCTAGTCAGGGCAGCAACCAGAGGCTTAGGCCACAAGTCCAAAGGTTGAATTCACAGCATACTTGTCACTGAGGGGCAGCAAGAGGTCTGTTTACTGAATCGGCTACTCGGAGTGCCAAGCAAGGCTGACTCCGGGACTTGATCAAGATTTACAATAGCCCTGTCTGTGCCAGACCCAGAGAGGGAACCAGAGAAAACAGGTTCTCTTCTGGGCTGAGAAGTCAAGGCAGAAACAGCGGACACTCTCTGGCACTTACTGAAAAAGATGCATGTGACATGATAACCGTTACAAATTTGGAACAATGTGAATGACTCTTCTGAACGTTCAGTTCAGTTGCACTGAGTAATATGAAATCTATGATTTATGAACTAGATAGTTTCATATAAAGAATTTACATAATTCCCCAATACTTTCATATATAAAATTTAATAAATAACCCTGACCAGTCTAGAAGCACCATTCAAGGGGCATGTGCCCTTGGAAAATAGTTTAGGTGTTGCATATTTGAGTCCCTTTCAGTGGAGGCTTCACAGGAAACCATTTATAGAATTTAACAATAACGACGATGACGACGACAACAAAAAAATCACAGTAACAAACAGAAAAGTTGTTAAAATAAAACACATCAATCTCTTTAAAGTAAAGCTCATTCACATAGATGATTCTCCCCAGCCCTTGTTTTGTGTTCCTGCAAATTCTTCCTAGAGTCTAGGCTGTAAAAACAAAAAAATAAAACAAAACCACACATAAAAACATGCAGGCTATGGTCTGGGCTAAGGGAAAAACAGAGTTGGTTATAACTGCTTTCATCAGAAGAGATATATGCTCTGAAAGATTTAAAAATTATCAATTTAGTTCTACAGTATATTCTGCTTAACAGTGAACTGACAGTATCCTTTCTGCTGTTTAAAAAAAGAAAAAAGGGGGGGGGGGAACAAACCTAAAAACAACACAAAAAAAAAAATCGGACAACTGCTAAGGCAGTGCCAACTGGGTGGGAGGCTTTCCACTAACCAAAAAGTTAACTTGTCTTCATATACTGTATTTACAAATATAATTTCTAAATGTATTTACAGCTTTAGTAGAAATTAGAGGGTAGAGAACTGATTAGAATGAAAAAACTGTTTAAAACCACAAACATTAGTACAAGTATAAAATTCTTTGTCTTCACAGTTTGTAGTAACAGGTTAAACATTGATAGAAAGGACGCTGTCACTGTCTTCACATTGTCTAATGCTGAGAAGGTAGCTCAGGAAGAGACTCAATTATGAACAAGTCTTATGGATTCAGGATATACTTTACTGCAAAAGATTTTTTTCACATATCACTTTATCTTAATTGATTTCTGCATTTGATATAAATGAAAACACCTAACCTAAAACTGTACAGAAATAGGGACTTTGCTTTCCAAAAAGAGTTGCTCTAAGGAGTTACACAGCGTACTTCGTCTGTGGAGATGTGAACTTCAGGGAGGGAATGTTTCTGTTCTGGGGTCATGTTAATCCTCCTGGCACATCTTCATGTGGCAAGGCACAATTAACTGCTGCTGCCCCATCTGAGTGGAGTGACCCTCTCACCAGTCATGCACACTGGAAGGCATGACAGTGCGAATGCTCAGAAAGGCTACTCAGCTGTGTGCTGGCCTATGTGCTGCCTCCCTCGAAGCCCTGCGGAACTTTACAGTACTGTGTTATGGCTTGAGAATTCATTCTTAACACTGCTAGCAGTGGAAAGGGTAAAGTGTTAGCAATAGGAATGAGAGCAAGTGGAACTTGCAAAATATGGAATCATGATTATTAGAGAGAAACTCAATCAATTTTCTGCCCCTTAACAGTCCCATGACAATGTTTGAACCTGAACTGTACAATCAAAGCAATGTATATTTTTGTCAAAGACAATTTTGGATAAGTCACTCTTTGGTAAACTCAAACCAGTTAAACAAATTTACAATTACAAGAACTTCATGTAAATAAAGTTAAGACGGACATGATGACAAGAACCAGGACACTACAGGTGTTGCCCCAAGTGTTCTCCCTCCCAACTTGTCTCATATGCTGCAGAAAGCTCTAGAGGCCTTGCAGAAGGCCCCAAGCCTGAGTGAAAAGGAGGTTCCTTCCCTGAGCTTGACCTCTCATGTCCTTGGATTTGGGTCTTTCTTGTCACAAACTTAATTTGTAATACAACACAAATTTTTTGCATTCAATTCTTTAAAAAAAAAAAAATCAAAATCAAACTTATTCATGTTAAAGAAAAAGAAAAAATCAACAAACATTTACCTGAAACCCCAGAACACATTTAAGTGGGTAAACACTTGGGGTCCAGCCTCCCCGTGAGGCACGCGGCTTTATCAGGAGTTGTACAAGTGCTTCAAGGAGAGAACAAACCCCCACTTAGGCAGTTTGACGAGGAAAAAGGCATACTATATACCCGATTTAGCAAGAGCTGCTCCTCAGGAGCAGCAGGATTAGAGTGTAATCTACTCGGAGTTAACACTGATGTGTAGCGTAGCAGTTCACACGTGAACAGGTCCTGTGTGCTAAAGAGGTGCTACTGCACAGTCACCACCCACGGGCTATTACACACAAAGGGTTTGAATGACTTTTTTTTTCCTTAAAAACAAAACAAAAAACCCAAACCAAAATAATTCCCCAAATCTACGTTGGTATTTTAAGAGCCAAAAAAGCATGGAACACCAGCAAACGTCCATTTCTGCATTCCTTAATGCACAGCCTCAGAGGTTGTCTTTTGTTTCTATTCCTCTCTTAGATGGCAGCACTGTTCCTCTGTGGAGATGCGCTGAGTGTGGACTCAAGAGTCCAGGGCCACAGACAGAGGCTGCAGTGCTGACATCCCAAGGGCAGCCTGCAGCAAGACTCACCACCAAGCTGCTTCCAGGATTGCCCGCTGCTGGAGTCTACAGCACCAGTCATCTTGTAAAGCCTGTTTGTATATGTGAACACAATAGTGAAGACTTTTCCTACCAATAGAACATTATTCAAACAGGATCAGGTATACAGTAATGTGTTTGCCAGCACGTACATGCTTTTGAGGTCTCTCTTCAAGCTATGAACCAAAGAGAGGAAAATAACTGTAATTCACAACTACCATTAAATTTCACATTTTCTACAACTATACTGACCTAAAAGATACTTAACAAAAATAGCACCACGTGACCAAAAATATGGTGATACACACACAAATTTGGTGACACACTGAGTATCTCAGAGGGCTTTTAACTGTTGGTTTCTTTAAGCAGGAAACACTGAGAGAGTGGGGGAGCCACCGAGGCTCTCGTTAGCACACACAATACTAAGATAGATATATTGCTTGCAATTCCCATAGAGTATAGCTTTACAAAAAGTACAAATTCCAAGTTCTGCAGTTTCCCAGGGAACTGCACGTAGAAAAAGTTGCTGTGCACCTGAACTGGCTGTTTGAAAAGGGAAAGAAAAAGGAAGAAGAAAACAAAAACACCACAACACTGCTTGGAGAATTTTGTAGACAAAACTATAAATCCCTTTCCTTTAGTGCGAGGACTAACTCATGGTAGAGAGTGATTCGATTTAGTTACCTGGTATGTATGTTTCTACAGTACGGAATGAAGGTAGATTTGTAGGCCGGTAAAAACCTTGAAAACCACTTCTCCTTTGGGGTTGGCTAATATAACACTATACTATGTAAAAAGGTCAGCACCACAGGTCGTCCAGCTTTCCTGCCAGACAACGAACAAAAATTCCAAAGGGTTCCCAACTAGAGTTGAAGAAATTTTATGGCATTTGGTTTATGTACTTGTTATGAAGCAGAGCTGTGAACACTGTGATTTGCTTTGCTTGCTTTTGGACACAATGATTAATATATATGAAAACCTATTAACATTCTTCTGTAAGGAAAACAAAGGGGCAAAAGTAACATATTAGGTAGGGATGAGACAGAGTCAAAAGCTCTGTTCACATTGTATTAAATTATATATTCCTCTTACATTCACCTCAACCAGAATAAACTCAAATTTGAGAATGTATATATACTATATATATAATAATCGTTTTATTATATATATATATAAATTGTCTAACTACCCCCTAAAGTAAGTTTAAATTAGAAAAGGTTACCCATTTGTATCAGCTGACGGCATCCTAGTCCCTCCGTGGAAATGCACTGGTGCCAGTGCCCACAATGAGAGAGAGTATGCCTCTTGGCAGAGAATGGCAGGTCAACTAGTTGGCATAGCTAACTCACTGGAGGATTTTGGATTAAGAGTTCAGCCAAAGAGGAATACTGTCAGCCCATGTTTTCCCTGGATATGTTGCCCTTCATGCTTTGAGCTCCTTGGGGGAGAGAGAGCGGGGAAAGGATAAACACAATGAAGTGTTCCATCCAGAAACTTTAGAAAAACTGCCAAGAGACCAAGAGATTTCCAGATGGTTGGGAAAACCAAAGATTACAACAAAGCAAATCACAAATATGCATTGATTAATGTGCTTTGTTTGGGTGCACTTCTTTACCATCTTAATCAGGAGCATCTGACACTGTATGAATTTCCATCCGGGAATCTAGGGCCATCTCTGAGGCTGATGCATCATTTTCTAGTTTCTGTTCCACATACACATCTGTTCTCTCAGGGGACTCTAGACGACTCCTGACTTCAGCAACGCCTGGGTGGTTTTTCCTCAGGTGCTGGTTGAGGGTACCTTGGAATGGAAAGCACTTCCCACAGATCTCACAGCGGAATGGTTTATCATCAGTGTGGCCCCGGATGTGGTACTCCAGTTGGTCCTTCCGTGTGTACTTCTTCCCACAGAACTTGCACACAAAGGGGGTGATTCCCATATGGAGGCGCATGTGCCTGTCAAGGCTTCCTTTCTGGTTGAAGGACTTCCCACAGTAAATACAGATCAACCTCTCATTGTATGGGTACCAGTGACCTCTTGCACTCCTCTCCCGGGGACTGCTCTCATACCCAGGGTTGCTCATCACAGCTTCACTGTCAGATCCCTGTACCATGCCCTGCAGGTCACTGTGCAGGTGGACGGACAGAGCCCGCTTCTGGCGGGCACGCCCTCCTCGGAAACAGCTCAGCATGGACCTGGATGGGCTAGAATTACTCAAACTTCCAAAAGCTTCTGAAACACTGGTTGGCTGTGAGGCTGCTTGGGAATAGGAATACGCATGCTGGAGCACAGAGCCATAGGAGCCCACATTCACTGCCACAACTTGTTCCCCATCAACCATTTCAGTGTGGTACCCGTCATCACCTAGGGAGGAGCTGTCAGAACAGCTGGGTCGGTCGGACTTTTCCATCTTCACTTTAACCTCAGTGATCTGGCTTTCCCTCACCAAGAGGTCCCCTTGCTCATGGTCCCCCTCGATCTGAATCTCATACTCAGACACACTCCCACTGCTCCCCCTGTCTGAATGCCCCTCCTCCTGTAAGCGGCTGCGCAAAGCTTTGCTGGGAGTCGTCTCCATCCGGAGATCACTGCTCACAGCGGGCTGCCGTACCTGAGGGCAGTATGGAGGGGAGATCTCAACAGGGTTGGTGAAGAAGCTGCCGTCTTTCACTCCATTACGGCTCTCGGGATTTTCCTCAGCACCAACAGTGACAGAGTCGACATCTCCAACACTTATTTTTGAATGGATGCTCTCTAGGATCTGTGTGCACTTGTCAATGACACACTGCATCTGAAGAAAGCTAGCTGCTGTCAGAAAACTGACAACATCCTTCAGCTGCAAGGACATTCTTCCAGTGTAACAAAAGGAAAGCAACTGTTCAAACACGTTGGGGTTTTTAATCACCGATATTGACAAGCCACTCATGGTACTTAATGCTGAATGGTCCCGGAAATATGGAGAACTGGCAGCAAGAACTGCTTTATGGGCTCGGAATGGCTGACCCTGAATATGGACAATGATGTCACATAGTTTCCCTTGCAGGCGGAGTTCATTTAGCTGGCTCAGAACGGTGCTGCTGTACTCGGGCACATCAAACTGAATAAAACTGCTGCTGTCCATTTCTACCGACATGAAGCGCAATCTGTGGAAAAAGAGAGATTTCATAATTCACCAATGGCTGCTCACCAAGCACAAGTGAAATAAACACAAGCTGACAACATCTAAACACTGCAGCTATCATACCTCCTAAGGTCTGCCTCAACATTCTTCCTCTTGCTTTTTTTTTAGTCTTTCAGGTTTCAGTTAATTTACCTAAAGCCAAATAACCACAGGATTAATTAGCTCAGTATCATTACCATCCAACATTCCCTTGATCAAAAATAAAACACTAGACATAATAAGGCTATTTCTGCTCCAACTGAGAAACTAGTATACTTTCAGAAAAAATATTTCCCTGTTTCACTTACTTTTGAGGATTGGAAAGACTCTAAAAATTACTGAAATTCACCTAAAGGATGACCTGACTTATCTGTGTATTTTTTTTTTTTTAGTAGACACAATATCCTTATTTTATTTTTATGTGGTGCTGAGAATTGAATCCAGTGCCTCACGCATGCTAGGCGAGCACACTACCACTTGAGCCACATCCCCAGCCCTTATCTGTGTATTTCTAACTGGTATTTTTCAAGTTAACAGCACACTGGGCATCATGAGTGAAGCAGGTCCCTTGTCAGTACTGTCATGATTTGCACTTTTCCACCTTCTGCTCTGTACACTTTTCTGTGACACAGCAAAGCTCAGTCCCTTCCAGTAAAGTTATTTTTAGGAGTAGGAGCAAGAAGAGTGATGGACACATCAAAAGTGCCTCACCTCCACTAGAGCTCACAGTGCTGGCGCACCTGGGACAGTTCTGCTTCCCTCTTGTCTGGAATCTGCAGCACCAGCTTGCTCAAAACTGATGAAGTACAGAGAGGCCAGGCTACATTTTCTGACTAAAATACAAGATGAGATCTAACAATTATATTTTAGTTTTTAAGATCCAACCAATAAAAATTTAAAGCCCTCCTTAATAGGTATTGAACCAGTGAAAATCAGAATGGAATACAAGTATTTATAAAATGAGGAAACAAACAAAATCAGCAGTAAAGAAGGGTCTGGGTGACATTTACATAGGTCTTCAACTTACTTGGGAATGTTTCTCCAAAAAATTAGATGGACAGGTATGTAATAAAGCAAAGATGATAAAATGCTAACAATGGCAGGGTCCGGATGGCAGGTATCCAGGTGTTTGCTATAGAATTCTCTCAACTTTTATAAATATTTGAAATTTTTCATAATGAAATGCTGGAGGCTTAGAAAATATCACCAACAACAAGAAAGGCAATAAGAGAAGTCAAAGCCTTCAAACTTTTTACCATTAAAGAATGAGTATTAAAAATAAGTGAAACTACTCAACTCAGGAGGTTAGTAAATAAATAACAAATTAAGCTCAAAGAAAGCAAGAAAATACAGCCTAACAACATAATCACAGAAAAAAAAAATTAACAATTTCAATACAAGACAATGTGCAACCAAATACAAGACTTGCAGGAAAGGATCAGTTAGTGGAACTGTATCACTTTAGAATTTTTTTTAAAAATCATGTCAAAATCTGAGTTAAAACATTTTAGTCAAACAGGAATACTGTGCCTTTATTTATCCTAGACTTACGACTGAAATCAATTTGAAATCTGTATGGAATGGACATATTTTTAGGATAACATAAATTGGCAGAACTAAATAAAAAAGAAACAGAAGTGCCAAGGCACAAATGATCTTCAGGCCGTTCTCACTGTTCCAGACACATGTAGAAACATTTAAAGCATTTCAGTTCATCTGGCACAAATCTGATACCAGAAGATGACAAATAGCACAAAGAACACTGTCTACTTTGTCTAAGTAGAGATTTTAAAGTTCTAATGGAAATACTAGGAAATACAACGCATTAAAAGAATATATTATAACCAAGAACAGCTGCTTCCCAAAAGTAGGAGTAGCCACATATTAGGAAATATACAAATATAATCTATAAAATAAGAAGGTCAAAGGGGAAAAATACATATGACTAAATCAATACTATACCAAAAATGCAGTTGAGGAAGTTGAACACCTCAGAGTAAGGAAGGAATATTCAATAAGCTAGTCAGCAAACAATACTTTCTTGATATAATAAACAGTATCTACTGCATGTCAATGACAGCAGCATCCTTAAAAAGGAAACATTATGTCTGCATGTCCCAAAACTTACTTGGTAGAACACAAGCCCATGAATTAGCCAGCCCCAGATCCTTCCTTATCTCCTAGGGATCAAAAACACATTAGCATAATAACCCATCTGAAAAGTCCTGCAGAGGAGCATTCTGTTTAACTCAGCAGTTTGCAAACTCATTTAATTGGAATTCTTTTCTCAAGGTACATACATTAATATTCCAAAGAATTAATGCTCCCTGGAGCACATTCTGGTAAACACTTTAGTAAGGCATTCCCATCAGGAACTGGAAGACAGACAACATTTTTACCATCACTACTCTTAGATTGTTCTGGAACTTCCAGTCAAAGCAACACAACAAGGGGAAATTAAGGCATATAGCCATTAAAAAAAAAAGAGAGAGAAAGAGACAAATTACTGTTACACACAGTTATGACTATTTACATAGGAAATACAAACAAATCATCTGCAATATATATTAGAGTTAGGATTTAAGAAGTGGAGGGTCTCAAAAATAACTGCACATTAAAAAAAAAAGTGTAAGATAACAAGTTACAGACAGCAACATAGCAACAGAAACTATACAATACTTGGGTGAGGATGAGGATAAATAAATAGTGAATGAGGATAAATAAAATAGTAAAATGACCAGGCAGTCAGGATAATTGGTCCCATTCAACCACATAGGCTAACCAATAGACATGTTAATGAGCACCACCAAGGCCTATTTCAAATGTTAAAGACCCAACCTGTGGGCACACCTCCAGCCAATTCCTTTGGGCCTGAGGTGGAAAATGGAGAATGGGGGTAAACTCAGACTTAAGTTATAGAAAGGTAGGTGGGGGTGATGATAGTCCAAATGATAGTCTTGATACTTTTTAAAAAAAATTTTATTGTATTTGTAGATGAACAGCAGGCCTTTATTTTGTTTATATTTATGTGGTGCTAAGGATAGAACTCAGTGCCTCACACACGCTAGGCAAGCGTTCTGCCACTAAGCTACAGTCCTAGCCCCTTGATACTTTTTCAATGCCTGTTTTATATAGATTTTGTTCCATGCTCATCCTAGAACCATATATAAACTCCTAAGCTGGCACACCAATTTTTTTTTCCTGCTATGAGGCCCCCTCCCGCATGGCAGGGGTTCTATCTCTTCTCCCTTAAATAAATCCTGCTCTGCTTGCTTTTCCCTTCTTCAAAATTTGTAGGACAAAAACCCAGAGGAAATTGACCAAACAGGGAATCTAGTCTCACTCAAAATTCTGGTTTCAGTAGGGCCAAAAAAAAGAAAATACAATACTACCTTAATACAAGGACAAAATACAAATGCATAAATGAAGAGATGCTTCTGAAGGAAGATTCAATACTATAGAGGCAGACACCTTTATCTAAAATTAATTTGTAAATGTAATGCGACTCAATGGAATATTTTCTTAGAAATTTGACAAAATGATTTCAATTCATCCCCCGACCCCATGCTGGGAATTAAACCCAGGATCTCAAACATGCTAGAACAATGAAAAATAAAACACATGTGTAACTTAGTGTTTTCTAGTTGCTTTTTTTTTTCCTTTTTCTTTGCAGCTCCAAGGACGAAACCCAGGGTCTTACGCATGCTGGACAAGTGCCTTATCACTGTATTGCAACCCAAGCCATCTAGTACTTATTTTTATTTTTTATTTTTTGGGTACTGGGGGTTGAACGAAGGAATGCTTTACCACTGAGCTACATCCCCAGCCTTTTTTATTTTGAGAGAGTCTCATTAAGTTACTGAACGCCTTACTACACTGCCTAGGCTGGCCTCAGACTTGCAATCCTCCTGCCTCAGCCACCCAAGTTGCTGTGATTACAGACATGCAGCATAGTGCCTGGTGTTAGTAAATTATATTTTTTAAAATAAAAAACTAAAATAAATTTTCATAATATATTTAACCCAATGTATCTAAAACATGGCACCACATAATCAACAACAGTTTAGAAAGCTATGAGACTTTTTAAAAGGAATTAAATTCCTTTTTCCATATTAAGTCTTTGAAACCTGATATGTATTTTATATACAACATGTGTGGACTAGTTGCATTTCAGGGGTTGGTTTTGTTATTGCTTTTTTTGTTTTTTGTTTTGGCAGGACTGGGGATTGAACCCAGGGCCTTACACATGGTAAGTATTCTACCACTGTACTACATCCCTAGCCCTACTAGTTGCATTTCAAGTGCATGTGTGGCTAGTGGCTATCAAATTGGACAGCACAGATCTAGAATAAATGCTAAAGAAATTTTAGAAAAGAAAAATATAGCCAATGTAAAATTAGATTCAAGTTAATTTGGTAAACAAAATAGATATTAAGTACCTTTTATGTACCAGGCACTAACCACCAGGTGCGTTATAATCCTCTCATCATAAACTGTGATACAAACTATGAGATCTTTTATAATGGGGGACTGGTCAGAGAAGGCCACTTGAACAAATGCTATTTTATTTTATTCTTTAATATATTTTTTAGTTGCAGAGAGACACAATACCTTTATTTTTATTTATTTATTTTTATGTGGTGCTGAGGATTGAACCCAGTGCCCACATGTGCCAGGTGAGTGCTCTTCCACTGAACCACAAACTCAGCCCACAAATACTATTTTAAATGAGACCAAAAGGATGAGCAAAGGTTATTGAGCTCTGTGAGGGTGTGGGGGTGCTGCAAGGAAACTGTCTAGGCAGAAGAAATCACATGTATAAAGAGATAAAGAGCCTGGGCTGGGAAGGAAGGATCGCTGGGAGCCTCATACCAGAGCAGGACAGGGGTGAAGGGAAGGGCAGAGCCCACATCATGCTGTCAGGGCAGGCAGGTAGAAATCAGCCTCATGAGCCATTTCAAATCAGTGAAAAAAAAAAAAAGGAATAATGATTAAAATAGATGCTGCTTAGGGAATATGAACAAATAACAGAATCAGATTTCTTATAGCATACCCTGAAATAATCTCTAGGAAAAGACAGTTCTAAGCACTGGAAGATAGATATGTAGGTTTAACTACAGAAGTAAGTTTTTTATATACCTAAAAAAAAAAATACCTTTTGACCAAAAGAAAAAAAAAATTATGAAAAATATTTTCCAACATACATGGCAGAGAATACAAGATTCATAAATCAATGAAAGTCATATATAACAATTGAAAAATCAGCAAAGAGTATTAACAGATGCTTTAAAAAAGAAATGAAAATATCCTTGCCTTTTAAACAGAGAAAAAATGCTTAATCATTTCATTTGTAAACAAATTAAGATGAGACAATACTTTCTCAAATTGGCACAACTTACAAAAATGCAACCCAGCTGGCACCTGACGAGAGGTCAAATATTACTTAACCTTATAGCATTTTCAAGATACCAAGTGTGTAAATAGCAACTTGTGGAATGAAGGGAGCAAAAGGGGGTGGGGGGCAGACGAAAACCAGGGGAAAAGGACAATAAAAAAGCATTTCTGAAGCAGAATGAAAAACCAAGAACACGTTCACAATGAGGCCTCCTCTCCTGTGTGCAGCTTTTTATCTTCTCAGAAGTAGAGAATGATACTTGAAATAAAATCACTAAGGGGAAAAATGAAACACTCTGATCAACACCCAAGAGGGATTCCATTTTTCTGCGAAATGAGAAACGAAGCACTTTGCTCTCCTCTCCCTTATACAAATGCTTCCTTCGGCAGTGACAATGAGATTCAAAGTTCCTCCCTGGAGCTGCTAACAAGCAACACTCTTGAGTAAGCAGCTTCTAAAAAACTGGAAAAAAGTGAATTTATAGTTAATCTGAGTTCTAGGTACATTACCAGGCTACAGAGAGCAAATAGCATAATTCATCACAAGTTCTATACCCCATGACTGGACTTATTAGGCCTGGTTGGTAGTCCTGAGATAGAAGAGATCAGAACCTTTTGTAAAAGGGACTTCAAGTTCAAATACGATCCTCCAAGAGGTTACTCAATGGCTTCTGGCATTTCTTGATTTCTTCCCTACATAGAATGCCAGAGGGCCTATACCTATGTTAGCTCAATTTTAAATTGTCTTTTTAAAATATGCACATAGTAGAATTTCAGATTATAGTGGAAAAAAGTACAAAAACTGCCAAACTTTCCTCAATCTCAACCCCTTTTCCCACAGACAATCACTGGTAGTTTTGGGGTGCTCTTTCAGAGAAATTTAAACACATATTGTATTGGCCTAAACTGTTTTGTACCCTGATCTTAAGAAACATATTTAATATACCTTAAAGTCTTTCCTTAGCAGCATATACCCAATGACCCCACTTTTTCCAACTTTACAGCATTCCATGGATGGTTGTGTCAGTGTTTTTAACCATCTTATATCAAAACAGGAAGCAACTTAAATAGCCAATTCAAAGCCAGAACAGCAACATACATGCCACATATATTGTGGCTTTCTTTTCTAACTTCTCACAGAGGAATCATGAGGTTTTCATTTCAATAGTGCCAAATTATCCTCTATATAAGGTGGAAGCAACTAGCCTTTCACCAAAAACATGGGGAAGAGTCTTACCCCCCTACAAGTGCCAGCAATTGGTATTAAATTTTAACTTTTGCTGAACTGACAGGAGAAAAATGGTACCTCATCATTCTGATGTGCATGTTTATATATAAATGAAGTTGATATCTTTTCTCATGTTTAATGGCAACCTAACTTCTGTCTTTGAATTGCCTATTCTTATCTTTGCCCACATTTACCTTTTTCTTTTTAATTTTTTTTTAGTTGTAGATATACACAATATTTTTATTTATTTTTATGTGGTGCTTAGGATCGAACCCAGTTCCTCACATATATGAGGCAGGCACTCTACCACTGAGCTACAGCCCCTGCCCCATATTTGCCTTTTTTATTGAACTGTCAGAGTTCTTTGCAAATTAAGGAAATTAGCCTTTTGTCATATGTGCTGCAAATATGAGATTTAATTGTAGTCACTAAATGGCATAATAACTGGGGATTTAAATTATTTTTTCCTCCTTTTATAGGAAATATTCATTCAATATCAATCTCCTACTTATACAAAACCACAGGGAATTCAAAGATGAATGAGTCCCAGTCTTGTAGTTTGATCCAGGCTTAATGCAGGTTCCTCCCAACTCAAAGAGATATGGGAATGGAATTCATTTTTGATAATGCAGAGTAGTGATTTATATGAGTTTTTCATTTAGATTAAGTTTGCAGCTTCTTCAGAAAACAATAATGAATTTGATTATTCTGCTCACTAAAAACATCAGAATCAGTCTTCTTTAATTTAGCATATTAATCATAGGGCTTTTCCTCTTATTAGGTAAAAAATCATGCCCACACTAGACATGTACATTTTTGCCCTTTAATTTAAAAAACAGGCACATATAAAATGAACATTTTTCTGTAGTACTATTAATACTTATTTTAACAATATTTATTTTGGTTTTGTTTGTGAAAACTATACTTTTGATTAAAACCAGAAACAATTCTTTTAAAAAACACCACATGGAGAGGACTTAGTTGAAGGGGTCTGCTGGCTCCTCAGCTTCAGAGGTCTCTTCTGCTCATACAACCAATGGAGAGACCATCTTTCTGCTTTTTCAAATTCTTACTTTAGAATTATTTTTCTTTTCCTGCCTTCCTTTTTTTCTTTTGGTAGTGCTCAGAATCAAACCCAGGATTCTACCATTGAGTCATACCTCCAGCCAGAATTCTTACTGTCTTATAAAGAAAGAGTATGAAGTCAAACTATGGAAACAGCTTCCATCTCTCACATAGCTACTGCCGTGGCCATTTGAGGCTCTCCCTGGTCTTGTGGGTGGGTTTTGGGAAGGATCCTCTAATATGGGAAGTCCAATATTCTGCTTCCACACACATCAAACCCCTATACCAGTCTCAGAAACTGAAAAAAAGGAGATGACTGCTACCTCCAATCACATACCTTAATCTTCCTCCTTTTCCTGGAAAAGTCCTTTTCCAGCTTCCAACACTAGAAGATCTGTGGCTGCAAGGGCCTGTAAACAAGTGGCCAGCCTCGGGCTACAGAGCCCAACTCTTTGGACAGATGTCCATGTCAAGACTCCTACATGAACATCTTGACATGTCAGTAACCACCAGTAACCACCAGGTACCAAATGCTTGATGCATATAGGCATGACTGAAAGACTTACCATGCTTACTGAACCTTTACCATCCCCCATGAAGCAGTCCTATTAAACCATTTTAAAGATGAGGAAACAGACTCTAAGGCCAATTTTCCCAGGACTGTTCCGACTGCTGCCCAGGAGGAAGAACAGCAAATGAAGGCATTTTAGTAATATCCACAAAAATTACAAATGCACAGCTCTATGAAAAAGTAACTTCAGCATCCTCTTTTTAGATCAAAATCACCTGTAGAAGTAAGGACTGTGAGCAGAAAACTCTGAGTCCTCCTCCAGCTAAAAGTGCATTATGCCATCCATATTCACAGCTTTGATTCCTATTTCTCCCTCAGAGCCCCTTAATCCTGGCTCATTTTACCTGCTTTAAACAAAAAACCATCTTTACATGTTAAAGTCTCAATTAATTAGAAATCACAGAACTAGGCTCAAGTGACTGGTCCTTTGGTATTTAAAGGTGGAAGTCCCAAAGAACAGATGCTTCCAAGAAGACACAGGGTTCATTCAGTCCAAGTTCAAAAGAATTCAAAGTAGCAATGGGCCTGTGTTCCAAAAACAAGAGCAAACTGAGGGGACTACCCACGAGTGAGCAAGTAGTAAGGAAGCCAAG